TACTGAATTAAGCAAGCTTTCATACTGTTTGACTTGACTGTGTTAGAGTAGAGTAACAGGAAATTAGACCTACCATAATGTCTCCATAGAGCTGTTTAAGTTTCTAGCCATAATTGGTATGGGAATATAGCTCTAAACCTTCAAGGCTGCCATCATTTCTCACATTCCTATATCTAGAAACCATAGCAAGGCAGCACTTTCAGTACGGTGAGTAATACTAATGTCTTAATAGTATCTGTCTTCATTTACAAAATAGGCAATGAAGGATTCTTGGTTTTACCTAAGAACTAACTGTCCATTAATGGCAACATCCCACATTTGTTGAAGAATGATTTATTTATTTATTTATTTTTTGGTACTTTGACATGCATTTGTATATTTTAATTTAAGGAACGCCTGGAGTGCATCTTAAATAATAATTTATATACACTTAAAGAATACTCCTGTTTGTTTTTAGGAATTCTTAGTGTGGTCTATTTCCTAGGATGTAGACGAGCATAGTAAAAAAAAAAAAAAAAAAAAAAAAATTAACACTTCTGTTCTAAGCAAAAAATTTTAAGAACTGGATAGCCTAGAAACGAATGCAATAACCTAGATCTTTTCATTTATTTCTATGTTTATTTTACCTGTATTGTTTTGTTTGCATGTTGTTTGAGACAGTGTCTTGCTCTGTCATAAGTGACAGAGCTGGAATGTAGTAGTGTGATCAGAGCTCATACACAACTTTGAACTCCTGGGTTAAACTGATACTCATGCCTCAGCCTCCTGAGTAGCTAGGACTACAGGTACATGCCACCATGCCAGGCTAAAACATTAATTTTTTTTTTTTCCCCCCTTTTTGTAGAGACAAGGTCTCATTCTGTTCCTCAGGCTGGTCTTGAACTCTTGGCCTCACAAAGTGCTGGGATTACAGACATGACCTCCAATGCCTGGCCATGGATTTTGTTTAAATTTATAAATGCCATGTGCTAGAATCTCTTTGTATGTATTAATTTAGACACCTTAGTTTTCTTAATGATTTCGTATCAGTTTTTCAGTCATTTCAGATTTTTTATGTTTGATAATTACTCTTTACCTCTAACACGAAGGCTGTGTTTTCAGGTGTATAAATGGAGCAGGGGCAAATACAGCAAGTGATTGATGGTTCAGTAAAGCAAGGCAGTTTTACTAAATGCTCAGTTTACTATAAATATCAGAAATGCCCAGGACCCAGCCCTGGGGATATTTTTGTTCTTTCTAGATTAGAGCTTTATCATTTACACTTTGATAGCTCTCCTATTTCCATTGGCAACTCTGGCCCTCTCAACTGTTGACTTGTTTATCCAGCAGTTAATTCTGATTCTCAAACTTAACATGTCCAAAGTAGAGCCCCTGATTTTCCTCCCAAACCTACCTCTCTCATAGTCTTTTGCCATCTCAGTCAGTAACAGCTCTTTTTCCCTCATGTGCAGCCCCAAACCTTCGAAGCATCTTTTATTTAAGTCATATACTCAAATTACTGGTAAATCTTGTTGGCTACACCTTCAAAATATCTATAATTCATGGGTTTTTTTTTTTTTTTTAACCATTGTTTACCCTGTTTAAAGGCATCCATCATTTTTTGTCAAAAGAAAGAAATTGTTTCCTAGTAGTTCTTGCGCTTTATAGTGTATTCTCTAGTAGAAGCCAGAATGATCTTTTTAAAATCTGAGTTAAACCGTGTTGTTATGCTTAGAACCTTTCAGAGGCTTCCCATCCGATGCTCTTAAAGTAAAATCTGAAGATTTGCATGCCCTGTACGAACTGGCTTCCTTTCAATTCTGTGATCTCTCTACCTCACTTGCTCATCTCTGTCTTAAAGCTTAGAACTGTTGGCATGTGACCCTTCTCTGTGACAATCCATTTGGCTTCCGCGAGAGCTCTCTGCTCAAATGATGCTTTTCCTGACCAGCTGCATCAGCGAATGTTCGATCTTCTGCATTCCCTTACCTTGCTACATTTTTCTCCATGGGGTTTCGTGTCATTTAACTTCTTACGTATTGCTTTTGTTGTTTTGCTCCTTTACCACTAGAATGGAAGCCTAAGGACAGTGTCTGGCATACAGAATGAAGCTAGTAAATTTATACAAAGTGTTTGTTTCTCCCTCTTAAATGTAGGAAGAATTTTTTTAGGGTTAATTTATGTATATATAAACTGATAAATATATACACAGCCTATAGGAAGTGGGTAATAACACCCATCATCTTTTTGAGCATTTACCACTTAGCAAGTCATTATGTACCATCTTGAATTTGATAGGAGAGCTGAGTAGACCATGGAAATATGGCTTGGATGCTTTTATTTCCTACATGACTTCTCACTTTTGTTTGCTTCACATCTATAAGCATTTATGGATCAAATAACATCTTGAAATATTTTGTGAAGTAAAAGAAGTCTCTTTAATCAAATAGGTGGTTCTTATATTTTCAAAAGCCTTTCCTGTAGGTTCTGATATCATAATGAGAAGGTCCTTTTGTATGCTTCCGACATACTCAAGAAACCAGAAAGTATTCTGACATCTGTTTCCCCTCAAGGTCGAATAACTGGAGAAAGGCAGGTTTAATTGACATTGTTATCAAGACAGTATCAGAAGAGAAACTGAAAACTCTCTATTGAGCATCTGTAATTTGTTAGAAGTTACTGGGTTATGTGCCTCAGCTTCCCATTTAATTAACAGGCAGTTATAATAACATATTATAGTGAGAATAGGTACTGGTTGCTGTAAGACCACAGAGGAAGAATACCTAATTCATCTTAAAAGCGATCGGAAATAATTAAGGAACATAGTGTTCTAGACAGGAAGAATAACTTTTCTAACACCTGGAATCAGAAAAGACAGAGCAAGACCACTGAATTGTAGGAAGTTCCGTGATGCTGTAATACAGAGTTAGCTGATGGGAGAAGGAGTGAAAAAATGCATTTGGATGTAGAAAGCCAGGACCACATTAAGGGCCTTTGCTTTCTTCTGATAGACACAGGAGCCCATGAAAGGCATCAGGCATGGAAGTGACACGAGTCACAATCTGTCCGCTTTTCTACCACACAAAGCATCATATAAACTTAAACCTTTTGTGTGGTTCTTCTGGTTCACAGGAGGGATAGTTGAATGGATGAATTGCTTCTGGCTGAATCTTCTCAAAGTAGAATGAGCAAAACATGGCTATGTTACGAGATTACCTTAGGAAAGATTTTTATAATCATGTGAAGTTTGAATTTATTTATGTCTTAATTATTCCCAAGAGATTTTTGGAAACATTAATGAGAACAGATTACCTTTAGTACAAAGAACTTCTTGTCAGCTATAAATGAGGGTCAAAGCCAAGAGAGATCAATGAAAATAAAAGGGATGCTGTTTTCCCAAATTCACAGAACTTTTTGATTCACCAAGTTCTGTTTTTAACTACTGTCTCCTCCTTAACATAATTGAGTATTCAGTGACATAATATAAATAAATCACTTACTAAGTGCTGATGAAGGCTTGTTTTTATTAACAGCTCAGCTTGTAGCATATCTTATTGCCCATACCAGAAACCCTACTCATTATCTCTAGCTCTTCCAGCTTATGTACCTCTTACAAACTACTTACTTAAAATATTTCCTGGGTCAGTTCATCTTTTTTTTTTTTCCTTGCTGCTACTACATTCTTTGTCTGAATTTATTACAATAGTCATGACCTAACTGTATTGCTTGCCTCCAGTTTTGCCCACTTTGGTCCCAGTTATTAAAAAGGCAAATTTTATTAGTCAGTTACCTGCTTAAAACCGTTCAGTGACTCCTGCTGTTTTTGTTCTTATCTAATGGTTTATGAATGTAGGGTTTTATGAATCTTTTGGAAGAGTGCATGTGCACTCCTGAAGGGTGCATGCATCTTTATGGGGAGAAGGTCTTTAGCTTGTATTAGATTGTTCCTCTTTTGGCTAAACAGAGGACTTATGGCTAGTGAGGTCTTCCATGATCTGGCTTCTCTGTGCCTCTCCATTTTCATATTTTTGAACCTTTTCTTAAACTTTAGGCTCTTCAAGTGCTTGTAATTGTCTTATAATGCCATGTTCTTAGGGCCCTGTGCTTTTACTTACTCACTTTCCTCTATGTGAAACATTCTTCCCACCCTTAGTGTCGTCAGCTCCTAGTCATCTTTTGTGATTCACCTCTGCTAAGTTGCCTCTCTTTTTACTGCTATTCTTCCACAGGCATCTCTGTGATACTGAAATCATGTGGCTTTCTCTTCATTTAAACATCAAATTCCTTGAAGAGCCCATTTTATATAGTCTGACAAGCAGAATTTATACTGAAGTAGATACTTGGTAGTCATTTAGTTATTGCTCAGTCCTTGAAAGAAGATGAAACTGTCCAAAGGGAAATTTAGAAGAGAAAGTATCTAATAGCTGATCCCTGGAGAATACAAATGTCTCTAAATTTGGAAAAGAAGTCTCAGTAAAACAGCCAGAGAGAAGGGAGGAAACCGAGAAAATAGTGTCCTAGAAGCCCAAAGTCAATAATTTCCAAAAGGTCTATGTTTCTTATGAAGGCCAAGTAAAATAAATAGTGAAAAGTGATGACCTATCTAGAGCAGATTCTGCATTTCCAGTTACACAAGCTAGGTTACAGGTACAGTAAGCCCTGGACGTGTTCTCCCACACAGTGTTATTCGTGTTTTCTACTGCTGCTTTGAACTAGTCCTGTTATTCTCTCAGTGTAAAAATCCCTGCTCCTTTGAAGCTTATGCCTTCTGGTTGTGTCATCCTCGATCTGCCTTTAGTGAGCTCTCAGTTTTTGAAGACTGATGCCTGAACTTACTCTTCTTCACTCTATCCCAAATCTGCTGCCATCTTTATTTATATGATTAACCCCTCACTCCCTAGCATCAGAAATTCCCGTCTCTTTTATCTACAATAATGCTTACCTCTCATCACTGCTGCTTCCCATGTCCACGAGCATGCCAACCCGGTTTTACCCCGATACCTTTAGTGAAAACACCTTACCTCAGGTTGCAGTGTTTGAATGCTCTTCTCTATCTTAAACTTGGGTTCTCTCGTTGCACCTTTTCGTCCTTCTCTTTGAGACTTGTCTTAACAGCTCTTCTGCTATCTTCCGACTGCAGTTCCCTCTTGACCCTGACATCTACTGCTCAGACCCAGGAGATGAATAAGTAGTGTTTCACGTGTTCTTTTTTCTCTGGGGAGCAGTAGTCATATAATAATCGATTAGGCTAAAACAAGTTTTTATCAGTTTCTATAAGAGGCAAAGAAAATTATCAAAACCAACAAATTCTACCATATTAAGGATTAAATGTATAGTATAATTGTGGTAACTGTGTGCACATTGTTATGCAGCAGATCTCTAGAACTTTTTCATCTTACAAAATAGAAACTCTGCATTCATTGAGCAATTCCCCTTTTCCCCCTGAAAATACCATTCTACTTTTTGCTTCTGAAATTTGACTATTTTAACTACTTTATATAAGTGGAATCATTAAGTATTTGTCTTTTTTTGACTGGCTTACTTCACATAGCATAATGTCCTCAAGGTTCCTTCATGTTGTAGCATTTTGCGGGATTTCCTTCCTTTTTTTAAGGCAGAATAACATTTTGTTATATGTGCATACCACATTTTCTTTAACCATTTGTTGATGGATGTTTAGGTTGCTTCCACTTCTTGAATATTGTAATGCTGAAATAAACATAGGTGTACAAATAAGTTTTTGAGAACCTGTTTTAATACATTTGGAAGTATACCCAGGTGTAGGATTACTGAATCATATGTATTTTTTTTTAAGCTTTTTTTTTTTTTTTAACAGAAGTTCTAGGTTCACAGAATTGAGAGGAAGGTACAGAGTTTGCCCCTGTACCTCCTCCCACACATACAGACTATTTCATAGTCAATGTCTGTCCCCTACTAGAGTGGTACATGTCTTTATGATGAACCTATATTGATACATCATAATTACCCCAACGTCTGTAGTTCATATTACGGATCATTCTTAGTGCTGGACATTCTATGGCTTTGAGCAAAGTATGATGACATGTATCCACCATTACAGTGTCCTACAGAGCGTTTTCACTGCCCCGAAATCCTCTGTGTTCTGCCTGTTTGTATTTCCTTCCCTCCCACTCCTTGGCAGTCACCAATCCTTTTACTGTGTCTGTAGCTTTGCCTTTTCCAACATGTTATATACTTATAATCATACAGCATACAGCCTTTTTAGCTTGACTGTTTTTACTTAGTAATATGCATTTAAGTTTCTTCCATGTCTTTTGATAGGTCGTTAGTACTTCTCTTTTTCTATTTTCTGGACATATCACAGTTTATTCATTCACCTAATAAAGGACATAGTGATTGTTTTCACATTTTGCTAATTATGAATAAAATGGCTGTGAACATTCGTGTGCAGGTTTTTCTGTGGACTTCAGTATTCAGCCACTTTGTGTAAATGCCAAGGAGTACACTTGCTGGGTCTTAGGGTAAAAGTGTTTAGTTTTGTAGGAAACGTCCACACTGTCTTCTAAAATGACTCTACCCTTTTACATTTTTCACCAGCAGTGAGTGAATGTTTCTGTTGTTCGGCATCTTCACCAGTATTTGATGTTATCAGTGTTCTGAATTTTGGCCATTCTGATAGGTGTGTAGCGGTATCTTGTAATTTTAATTTGTGTTTCTCTGATGCCATATGATGTGTGGGGCATCTTTTCATACGCTGAATTGCCATCTGTATATCTTTAGTGAGGTGTTTGTTAGTTCGTCCATTTTTAAAAATGGATTGTTTTCTAGTGGAATTTTAAGAGTTCCTTACACTATTTATCTGCAAACAAAGGCAGTTTTATTTTTTTATTCCCTGTTAGCACACACTTTTTCCCCTTTTCTTGTCTTACTGCATTAGCTAGAACTTCCAGTATGGAGTAATGAGGAAGATATTCTTGTCTTGTTCCTGATCTTAGTGAGAAAGTTTCTAGTTCCTCATCATTAAGGATGATGTTAGCTTTACGTTTTTTGTAAACATTATTTATCAAGTTTAAGTTGTTCCCTCTATTCCTAGTTTACTAGTTTTTATCATGAGTGGATGTGAAATTTTGTCAGATACCTTTCTCTATTGGTGTGGTCATGTGATTTTTCTTCCTTCATCTGTTGGTATGGTGAATTGCTAACTTGATTTTCCAGTATTGAACCAGTCTTATTTATATGTGGGATAAATCCTACTTTATGCTGGTGTATACTTCTTTTTATACATTTTTGTTTTTAATTTGCTAATACTTTGTTTAGAATTTTTGTATCTTGTTTATGACAAATACTGATCTCTAGTTTTCTTTTCTGATAATGTCTTTGGTTTGTGTATTAGAGTAATGCTGACTTCATACAATGAGATAGAGCATCCCCTTTGCTTCTATCTTCTGAAAGAGACTGTAGAAAATTGGTGTGGTTTCTGCCTTAAATGTTTGGTAAAAATCATCAGTGAATCCATCTGTCTTGCCTTCTGTTTTCGAATATTGTTACTTACGGATTTAATTTCTTCAATATATGCTTTTTAATGAAGATTATTTTTTCTTAGAGTTCTGATAGATTGAAGGAATTGATTCATTTTGTGTAGGTTACCAAATTTATGGGCATAAAGTTGTTCATAATATCCCTTGATTATCCTTTTATTGTCCGTGAGATCTGTAATGAGACCCACTCTTTTAATTCTGATAGTATTTTGTGCTTTGTCTCCCTTAGCCTGGCTAGAGGCTTATTGATTTTATTGATCTTTTCAGAGAACCACCTTTTCACTTCTTTGATTTTTCTCTGTTGATATCTTTTTTCAATTTCATTGATTTCTGCTCTAATTTTTACATATTCTGCTTACTTTGGATTTAATTGGCTTTTTCTAGTTTCATAAGATGGTAGCTCAGATAATTGATTTTTCTAATATATGCATCAGTGTTCTATGTTTCTTTCTAAGCACTGCTTTCACTGTATCCCACAAATTTTGATAAGTTGTGTTTTCATGATATTTTCAATTTACGATGTTTTCAAATTTATAATGGTATTGCTAGGACACAACCCCATAAGTAAGCTTAGGAGCATCTGAATGTGTAAGCGCAATTGTTGACATTATTTTGAACAAATTCTTACTTGTCAGATCAATTAAGTATAAGAAAAATTAAAGGTTTTATTTTACCTTCAGCCTTTCCTTCTTTGATGCTCTATATATGTAGATTTCAGTTGCTGACCAATATTTACTGCAAGGCAGGTGTACTGACAACAAATTTCCTTAATTTTTGTCTGAGAAAATGTTTGTCACTTTTGAATAATAATCTCACAAGGTAGAGTGCTAGGTTTTCGGGTGTTTTCTCTCAACACTATAAATATTTCAACCTGTTCTTTTTCTTGCAGGAAGTCACATGTATTTTTTTTTTCCTTTTTTTCCTCTACAGATGATTTTTTCCCCGTCTTCAGATTTTTTTCCTATCCTTGAATTTCTGTAGTTACAACATTTTACGCCCAGATGTAGTTTTTTGGCATGGATGAAGAACCTCAGATTCTTCATCCATGCCCAGTCAGTCTACTAATAAGCCCATCAAAGGCATTCTTCATTTCTTTTACAGTGGTGGTGGTGGTGGTTTTATCTCTAGCATTTCCTTTTAGTTCTTTCTTAGGGTTTTCATCTCTCCTTTTTCTTTTTTAACATGTTTACTTAATTCATTAGCATATTAGTCATAGCTATCTTAGATTCTCAGTTTGATAATTCCAAATCTGCTGTATCTGGTCCTGATGCTTGTTTTTTAACCTTTTATTATGCCCTGTAATTTTTTTCTTGATAGCTTGACATCATGTACTAGGTAAAAGGAACTGCTGCTATAAACTGAGCCTTTAGTAATGCAACTGTAAGGTGTAGGGAGAAGAGTTGAGTTCTGTAGTCTTATGATTAGGTCAGTCTTTTAGTGAGCTTCTTAATGCCTCTGGTCTGTGAACTTCACAAGTGTTTCTCAGTCCCACCCCTCCCTCACTCCCTTAGTTAGAACAGGATGTCTATAATGGCCTGGAGTTAGGTTATTTCTCTTCCCCCACATCATTTTGGCTTTGCTACAACCTCAGCAGATTAAGCGCCGGTTAACTAGTTTCTTCTGAGGACAAACGTTGTTAAGACCAGAATACTCTGGTGTGCTTTGAAATCGTTTCTTTTTTCATCTCCTGCAGAGGGTTGATATTCTTCTCCTATGTTTATTTTGAGAAGCTGGCCAATTGCCTGAAGGTAAAACTTAGAAAATTGTGGGGATCCCCCTAGAATTGGTTAACTCTGGAGTTTTTAGTTTTTTGAGTTGTCCACACTGAGCCTTTATCAGTTTGTCCATTGCGCTTCAAGATTTCCTACACTGTGGAGGTTTGTGCTTGTGTTTTTCATCTCAGATAAATGGTGGTCTATGTGTTCACCTGTCTTTCACTGTCACTTACAGACAGTCATTTGCCGTGACCTCATTTGTCCTATCTCTGATTTGTTTATTTTTAAGTTCGTCATTTTTCACTTGTTGTTAGGTTGGAGTGGTGACTTCCAAGCTCTTTATATGTGGAACTGGAGGTAATTCTGTTTTAAATTTTTTGAGGGACTGTCATATTGTTTTCCATAGTGTCTGGCACCGTTTTACATTTTCACCAATGATGCATAAGGGTTCCATTGTCTCCATATCTTCACAAACACTTATTTTCTATTTTTTTGATGGTGGCCATCCTCATGGTTTCAAGTGATACTGCAGTTTTGATTCACATTTCCCTACTGATGGATATGTTGAGCATCTTTTCATGGGCTTATTGGCCACTTGTATATATTCTTTGGAAAGATGACAATTCAAGTCCTTTGTCCACTTTTTAACTAGATTTTTTGTTGTTGAATTGTAGGAGTTATTTATATATTTTGGATATTAACGACGTAACAGATACATGGCATGGAAGTATTTTCTCCTGTTTTGCAGGTTGCCAGTTTACTCTGCTGACTGTTTCCTTGCTTGGCAGAAAATTTTGAGTTTATGTTTCCCCACTTTGTCTGTTTTTGCTTTGGTTGCTTGTGCTTTTGGTGATCTAGTCAAGAAATCACTGCCAAGTCCAGTGTCATGAAGCTTTTTCTCTGTGTTTTCTTGTAGTAGTTTGATAGTTTGATATTTTAAGTTTAGGTCTGTAATTCCATGCTGAGCTCATTTTTCTATACA